TCCTCGCTTCGTTATTATCTGCGGAATTCTCCACTAAAGATAAGTAAGGACATCAATTATATATGCTATGCTCCTTAATTTTTGTAGTAATACTTCCTTCCGTGGTAAGTTTTTATATAATATTATGCTTACATCTTCTTCTTTTTTTAATATTTGTTTTCTTAACCTAATTTTTGTCAATATAAAAATTAATGATTTAACTAAATCTCCCTTTATCATATATTATTTAATTTAATTAATTTTATAACATCTTTTTATTCAATTTATCAAAAAAAACTAACTTCGCAAAGCAAACAATTTTTTTATTCAGTATAAACATGCATGTCACACTAAATAATATCATATTAAAATACTAGTATCAAATATTCAATCCACAAGTTTAAAATGAAATTTCAATTAAAAACCAAGGAAGCATGATTATATTACCGAAGAGGTTATAAGTGGAAATATTTTTTGAAAAATTATAGGTTTGTTGTCTTCTTTTATTTATTTTTACTATTTTGCTGTCGTGTTTCCTCAATATTTTTAATAGGGTAATAGTTATTGATATGAATATTTTAAAAATCCATTTCATAAATTATTATTTTTTGTTTGCAATAAGACCAAACTGAAAAATTACTTGAAGAGACGAAGCCGGAGCCAAGTACATTAATGCTTAATGCTTGGACAGTTGAGTTAATATTAATTAAGTTAAGAAAATTATTGTTAAAACAAAAGAGGCAAACATAATATTATTAACTACAACGGAAGTAAGTATTATGAAACTAAACTTGAAGGGTAGTTTGTGCAATTATCTCTTTTATCTTTTGATTATAATGATTTTGTAGAAAAATAATTTAACATGAGTGATTTTATAAAAGAAAATTCATAAGTTGAATGACTTTATTGATACAAAATTAAGTTGAGTACTTTCTTAAATAATTTCACATACTTGAGTGATCTTTTGAGATATTTATTCTTTGAATCGTTGGCATTTACCTATCTAATGAGCTATTAAATTTATCTTTTGAGGTCTACAATTTTCTTCTGCCCATAATTTCCAATTACTAGCAAACAAGGTAGTCTTGAACGACTTATCTAGTCCACAAATTCCACATATTGGATATCCCCTACCACAAACAATTTCTTATATTTGAAAATTCAGGCCTAAGAATATCAAATTTAACTCATGAAAATATAAATCATGTAATTCGTCCAAACTTAATTGAAGAGGGTTAGACTGGGCATAGATCAAGTCAGCACATCTAAAAGACTGGAATGATTTGGGATGTATATATAGCCTTAGATTGATGCATGGAAACAAAAAACTAATTAGTTTTATTTTGTAGTCAAACAAATTTATAAAGGTATAAAACAACAAAAAGAAAAATCATATTGAGTTTGGACAAATTGGGTTATAATGGATTGTTTTTGCCCGAATTCAGCCACCCATCTTGACCCGAGCAAACGTCACTACACATATTATGGTCATAAATATATAGGTAAACGGCAAAGTGTTCCTCTTCATCAAATTGCAACTTTCTCATCAACGACCAAACACAAGTCTTCCATTGTTAATGAAAAGTCCACACCAGTGGCGGAGCCACCTTATTGCTAGGGGTTCATCCGAATCCCCTTCGGCAGAAAATTATAGCATTTATACATGGTTAAAATAATTTTTTAGGTGTATATTGTAGACGTCGAACCCCCTTCGGCTACTTCGTGTGTTTATTTTTTCAGATTTCGAACCCTCTTATTAAAAATCCTGGTTCCGCCACTGGTTCAAGTATCCAACAAACACACCAACATTCTTTTCTTCTCTTGGAAATAGTAGAAATTAAGAGAGTACAAATGTATTTGTGTAGGGGAACCATTCTGCATAAATATTTTACGTTAATCCTTGTAATCCATATTGGGCCCGTGTCATGGTCATTTCCTCTAGTTTTAAAAGAGGTTTAAGTGGATTATTTTTTTAAAATAACTAAATAGCATATTGTAAACATTTTAAAAGAGGTTTGATATTTTATTATTTTTCAAAATTTGATTTTAAATAAAAAAAAATCCATGTAAACAAATTCTAATGAAAAAAGATAATTAAATAGATTGAGTGACTTTTGAAGTAAAAATCAAAATTGAATAACTTTATAAGTAAAACACTTATAATTATTGAGTAACTTTTGGAGTAAAATGAAATTAAGTGATTTTCGTGATAAACTTCCATATTTGAGTGAGCATTGATGATATTAAGTCTTAATAAATAGGTAAACGGTAAAGTCTTCCTGTTGAGGGCCCTTTCATCAAATTGCAACTTTCTCATCAACGACCAAACACAAGTCTTCCATTGTTAATGAAAAGTCCACACCAGTGGCGGAGCCACCTTATTGCTAGGGGTTCATCCGAATCCCCTTCGGCAGAAAATTATAGCATTTATACATGGTTAAAATAATTTTTTAGGTGTATATTGTAGACGTCGAACCCCCTTCGGCTACTTCGTGTGTTTATTTTTTCAGATTTCGAACCCTCTTATTAAAAATCCTGGTTCCGCCACTGGTTCAAGTATCCAACAAACACACCAACATTCTTTTCTTCTCTTGGAAATAGTAGAAATTAAGAGAGTACAAATGTATTTGTGTAGGGGAACCATTCTGCATAAATATTTTACGTTAATCCTTGTAATCCTCTTTCTGCAAACATGCAATGCTAGGAAGAGCAAACACTACTGCCCCCCTTCTGCTTGTGGCCAGATCCGTAACATAAGCTACCCTTTTAGCTTAAACACTGATCCAAAAGATTGCCGTTTTCCAGGATATGAATTAGGTTGTGAAGGTAACCAAACAGTACTATCGCTTTTCTCCAAGAAGTTTCACGTTCAAGGCATCGACTACGATAATAAGACAATTCACTTGGCAGATCCAACTTTACAAACACAAGGTGATCTGTGCTCTTTCAGACCTATGCATATCTTCTTCCACCAATACTATAGTATCTTTGACACATATTATCATTATCATAATGGATTACAGCGTCCAATGGCAGAGCCTATCTTCATGTTCACCGCCTACTTGAGAATTTAATGTATAAGCTCCAATATTTTGGGATTTTTGGACAAAAGATTAGTAAGGACGGACTTCAATTATATATGCACTGCTTCTTAATTAACATTCTTTTCCAGTCCTAAGAAATTAGGAAAACAATGGATTCACTTACTACAATTTAATTTCTTCATTTCTTTGTAGGTGTTACTTTTCTCTACATATACTTTTAATTCTGCATTTATATCTCATTCTATATTTTATGCACTTTAATCTAACCAGGGACCAGTCTACGGCCACTTCTGTATTTCACGGATAAGCTCCTATATGATGGACAAAGGGGATAATTAACATTCTTTTCCATCCTCCATAGGTATGAAATTAGGAAAAACAATGTATTCACTCACTACAATTTTATTTCTTTATGTCTTTGTAGGTATTATTCAACAGATTCTCAGTGAGGACTCAAACTTTTCTCCATAATAATATACTTTTAATTCTCCATTTATCTCTCATTCTAATTTTTTTTCACTTTAATCTAACCAGGAACCAGTCTGTCGCTACTTGTGTATTTCATGGGTAAGCTCCTATATATAGTGTTAATAGCAACTCCCACAATCTATCCCATAATGTTGTTAATTCTTTTGTTCTTAAATTTAGAAAATTCATTATATATAAGATCATATTACATATACCATTAGATGTTATTATTACCTTAGTTTTTAAATAAGTTCAACATTTCCTATTTTGTAAAATAATTACTAAAAATTAAATGATATTGCTGTGTTTGCATAGAGTGTTTGCATAGAGAAAACATATACTTAGTAGAATATATATAAAATTAGGCAGGTACAAATTTTATACAGGAGAGAAACGCGCAACACACATTCGTAAAGACTAGTAATTTAACGCAAGTGAGCACAACACAAAAATTCTAAAATAAAACAACTCGAAATATATTATTGTTGTTGTCTTATGTAAGTGTGTGTGCATATATAGATATATACTAGTAAAGAAAGCCCAGGCAACAGGGGTAAAGTTATATTATTGTTATACATTATGTACCGTTAAAAAATTAGTATAGATTGTTATAATATATTTTGCTCAGAAGTGAGCTAATATAGAAACTTATTTGTCTTTTGTCTTTTTAATTTCAATTTCAAATAACAAATAAATGTAGCAGATTGAGGATAGAAATGAAACTTATCTTTCTAAATCTAAGTAAAAATAAATAGAGTAGAAGTAACTCAATGGGACGGTTCGATCGGTTATTTTAAAAAAATTATATGATTTCAATTTTTCGGCTATTTTATAATGTATAACCAAAATTAAGTTTTTAAAAACTATCCCAATCCCAATTTATGTGACAAAAATTAGCCTTTTTTGTTGTCTTTTAGATATTTTAAGTTATTAATTATTATAATTTATAGTACTTTTATGTTATTTTTAATTAACATATGTTACTTTTTATGTTCCAATTTATATGAATTGATAAAATTTCGTGAGTTCACCATTTTTTTTATATGTATTTTAAATATTTTAAGTTGTTAATTATTGTGATTTATAGTAATTTTTAGATTATTCTCAAATAATATATGTTACTTTCTCAGTTCCATTTTATGAGGCACAATTAAATTTTCAGAGTCAACAAAAGTTTTATATCTTTTAAATATTCTAAATTATTAATTATCATAATATATATTATTATTATTTATGTAGTTCTAAGATGTATAACAAAGTTTTAAAAAAAAATAAGAAAAAAAATAAAAACGAAAAAACAAAAAATACCACGACAATTAAACAGATAAAGAAAGCAATAAGGTGGTTCCATGGTAAAGCAGGAGAATGGGTCCCATTATGACATATAAACATGGTCACAAACCAAAAGAATACAATTGTCCAAGCAGAGAAAAACAAAGAAGCAGCTTTAAAAGCATGAATTGACCACAATAGCCTCAAGTTGAATAACAATTCCAAATAGCATACCTGATGACGGAGAGTGGACTGCGAGTCCGGAGCCAAAAGGGTAAACAAATTTATCAAAAATTCCAAAAGGGTGACAAAATTTATTTTAGAACCAAAAGGGCAACTTTGTAACGGTTGAACTATCATCGTTCAAATTAGGTCGACCGCCGCAAGGCGCAGCCATCTTTGTTTTGATGATGGTTGTGCCTTGCGGTTGTCGACCTAATTTGAACGGTGTCAAATTCACAGTTAGAAAATTGCCTTTTTGGTTCAATAATCAATTTTATTGCCCTTTTGAAATTTTTAACAAATTTTCTTACCCTTTCGATTACGGACTCATGTTTATTCTCCTTTCTTAGTAGTAAAATAGTAAGTAATATATATATATATATAGTGTCAATAGCAATATTTGTGAAAAAAGACTTCTCTTCAAAACTCATAATTTCTGAGAAGAATAGAACGTCCGCATAAGAAAAAGACATCTCTATTGGCTCAAGAGGAAGTTAACGTTATGACTTCTTAATCTTGCAACGTATTTGGGCGCAGAATTTGTAGTAGGCCTTCCATTGGTATTTGCATTTCTGGTGATCAAATTCAGGAGGAGGCATTTGTCCATGTATGATGCGATTGAAGGCTTTTTGCAAACACAAAACAATTTCATGCCAATCAGATATAACTACACCCACATAAAGAGAATGACCAGAGGGTTCAAAGAGAAATTAGGTAAGGGAGGTTACGGCAGTGTATACAAAGGAAAGCTTCAAAGTGGAAGAGATGTAGCAGTGAAAATGTTGAGCAAGCCTAAAGCTGGTGGGCAAGATTTCATGAATGAAGTAGCTACCATCGGAAGGATTCATCATGTCAACGTGGTTGGCCACACAACATTCTTTTGGATGAGAATTTCATTCCAAAGATTTCTGACTTTGGGCTTGCAAAGTTATATCCAACAGATAATAGCATTGTGACTCTCACAGCTGCTCGCGGAACGATTGGATACGTAGCTCCAGAGTTGATCAACAGAAGCATTGGAGCAATCTCTTACAAAGCTGATGTGTACAGCTTTGGAATGCTGCTAATGGAAATGCTGGACTTGAAGAGACATGAAGTTGCAAATGAAGAGAATTCCAGCCAATATTTTCCTTATTATATTTACGATAAGTTCAACAAGGGGAAGGAGATCCTGGTGGATGAAGAAGCAAAGGATGATGAAAAGAAGATGGCTAGAAAGCTGAGTTTAGTTGCATTATGGTGCATTCAGATGAATCCAATACAACGCCCTTCAATGAGTAGACTATTAGAAATGCTTGAAAGTGAAGTTGAAGTGCTAGAAGTACCTCCTCAGCCTCTTCAATCTCAATCGATAGTTCATCAGATGATGGGAAGTTCTATGACATTTTTGTCTGATTCAATGGCTTTGTTAGAAAATTCTGTTGTTAATGCCGTTGAAGTAGACATTTGTTCTCATTAGAAGTGTGTATCGGTCGATTCGGTTTGGTTTTATGTATTATCGATTTCGGTTTTAAATATGCTAACTCAATAACAAACCAATAAGATATATATTTATCGGGTTTTGATCGTTATCGGTTTACCCAATAAGAAAATGTCCGTAAAATATTATATGACTTCTCACTTCTCTAAATGCTTTGATATAGTGAAACAAGAAAGATAATGAGAAATTGCATCAATAAGAAAAAATATAGTACGAGCTATAATTACATGTCACTGCCAAACATAGTATGAAATTTCTGATGTTAATCAAATTACAAACCTTTACAAACTTGCAAATGCTACAACCTACAATTACAAACTAAAACTAAAACTAAAACTAAAATCAAATAGCTACAATTGTGAACCTTTACTTTAGTCTTTAGGTTTTGAGTAAACAATAAAGACTAGTAAAGCGGTCTAGTGTGAAGAGTACTAATAATTTGATATAGTTATAGTCTCTAGTTATATATTAAATTATTAGTATTTAATATTTAGGAAGGGTAAAGTAGTTATATAGTACCGTCCTATTGGGTTATCGGTTTACCCAATAACCCAATAGTAAAAATTGAAACCGAACCAATAACCCAATAACTTTGTTTTATAAGCCCATTAAAAACCCAATAACCCAATAACATTTTTTCGGTTCGGGTTTTGCACACCCCTAGTTCTGATTGATTATATGCAGAGAATAGCAAAAGAAGAGTATAGTCAGGAAACCTTCTGCTAGCCCAAGATCATTAACTAAGATCGAAAAACTCAACTAAAGAAGAGGAAGCTAGAAAAGAAAAAAAAAATTTGGATAGGAGAACTTTGTTATGGAAGAACACTCTTGAATTGCTTTCAATTGGGTTTTGTTACAACTTACAATGTCTAATGCCACCCCTATTTATAGTTGCGTAGGGATGATTCTAGATACTAAGAATCTAGAATGTTCTAACCTCTTCTACAAATATCTTCCTCAAATATCTAATATTCTAGACTATCTAGATTTTTCTCGAGTACAAATATCAAAAATATACTCTACAAAATTCTAGAAAGTTCTACTAAATATCTAAGATATTTTTTGTACCTCTAAAAAATCAACTTTAATTTTTCACATTATAATTGGGTAATGTTCATTCAAAATGACATATATGCGAGAAGGGCTTCACGTTTTACGGGGGTTTGGCCACAAAGTGAGATTGATGTAATTCTTCCATTTAGTGCCCGATCAACAACCCATTTTAGTTAATTTTCTATATGTTAGTTCCTAACCTATGGATAAATCAATTTAAAAAGAAACTTCTAGATTTCATAGTGGGGCTCGACTTTTCTACTCGATTTTTTAGCTGAACTTTTATATGGCAATATGGTCTGTACAGAGATCCAGAGCTTAGAAGAAATTGTGGATACCATGAGAAAAAGCAATGTTGATGATGAAGTTGAAGATGATATTATACCTTTGGAACCAGTTACGCGTAAGAAATCACTTATCGCATCTAGAACTCTTCACAATTTTATGGTGCAGTTCGAAAAGACAACACCAGAGCTCTTGGATGCAATAAGAAAAGTTAGAGATGAGCTTAAACTAGATTTAAATTATTTTTAAAAAAAAACACAATAGAATCATATTTCACTAAATTGTCTTAGATATAGTTGTACTTTTAAAGAATTATTAATTTATGATATTAATGGGACCATATATTTAAATAGGGGTCTTCTGGAAATATATTATCTTATTATCTTATCGAAATTGGTGATTTTTTCCATTGGCCCAAGTCGGGACCAGAGGAAAATATTACTTTAGAGAGATTATTAATTTACCGAGTATTAATTTATAGAGATTTTACTGTACATGAACTCAGGAAGGTGTGTGGAAAAATCCGCACCACAAAAACTGAATAGTTTCCTGTGTGGAAAAGTTCGCTCCACAAACTGAATAGGTTCAAAGGGAAAATATTAAGAAAAAAAGTCTATTTAGATTGACTTAAAAGTTGATCAAATCTACTCATTTTTAGTTTTTGGGAGTGTTTGACAAAATCAAAAATAAATTTAAAATGTCTTAAAAAATAGTTAGAAGTAGCAGTTCCCTGCTTTTTATTTATTTGACTTGACAGTCATTTATGTTTGAATTTTTTTTTTTTTTTTGACTTGAAAACTACTTTTTTAAGAGGGTGTTTGGATTAGCTTAAAAGTTGGCCGAATCTACTTTTAAGTCAGTTTTTGATTTATTGAAGTGTTTGACAAATATAAAAATAACTTAAAATAAATAAAAAATGACTTGAAATAAAGTTAGGAAGTGTTTAGCAAGATTAAAAATAACCTAAAATAAGTTAAAAACAAAAAGTAGGTCCCCCCTACTTTTTATTTCTTGGCTTAAAAGTCATTTAAGTTTGACTTTTTATTTTTGACTTAGAAGCTATTTTTTTATGTCAATCTAAACGATAGGGGTGGACATTCGGTATTCGATTCGGGTTTCTCAAATTTTGAGTTTGGTAATTTGGTAATTGGTAGTTAAAGTAGATATCAAATACCAAAATTTTAAATTTCGGTTTGGTAATTCGAAAAACAATAAATTAAACTTCGATTTGGTGCAGTATTCAGTAATACCGTATTCAAGTTATAACCAATTGTATTACAAATTTAATATTATTTCTCTAATCATTTCTATTTATTTATGTAGACACATGATATAATAGAAGATCAAACAAGTAAGAAGACATTTCTTTTTTTTTTTAACACCCGGAAATTGCTTCATAAAGGTTTTAAGACATTACATGTACTTGTGGATTTTTCACAAGTTTGATTTATTAAATCCTTCAAGAATGAAATCAGCCCAACTTTAGAGAAGGTGAAGAAAAAGAAAAAAGAATGCAAGGCATTGGGGTAGAATATCCACAAGCACCTCAAGTACTTGAATTGAAGTAGAAAATAAATTATTCTGCTGTCTTGGAGGTCCCTTCCACTTGAAGTTGTCCGCATATGACTTGATCTTTAACAATGTTGTGTGTCGTTTCTTAACCGTATATTCCCAGCCTTGCTTTTCAGCGAATGCTTTTGCAGCTTCTTCACTCTCAAAACTAAGTGCTGAATCACCAACATTGGCATATGGGTCCCCTGTGGATGTCCACCCCATCAATGGATTCTCCCATTACTGGGTAGACATGAAATTGATTTTCCATCTGCCAACTTTTCCAGAGCCCTGTTGACTAGCAGTCCGAGCAGGTGAGAAAATCACAACCCTTCTACGAAGATGTTCATCTGGAATACCAGAGACCATACCGATCTCTCCGGGCTTGATTTCGACCAACGCTTCTGACGCAAATTGTCTCCATATCAGCGTCAGAGAAGATCGCCTGGCGGCTTGCGAGGAATGCGTCGCTATTCGTCGGAGAGAGCTAGCCATTTCCCTGAGATGATAGAATCCGGCTGAAGTGATGAAGCCAGAAAAATTACTTTGCCCTTTGTATTTTTATTTTCACGGTGATGTGGACAAGTAAGAAGATATTAAGAAAAGCAAATTGATACAACTAAAAAACATGTATTTGGATTATTCATGCTTATTCTTTAACTTTTTCTTTAGACTTGTACTCATGAGTAATGGATACGTTGATATATGACCTTCATTAGGTAAATAATTTAGTATTTGGGAAAATACCGAATACCAAATTATACTAATGTCTCATACCAAATCCAAACCCGAATACCATAATTCTAAAATTTTACTCATGAGTACCATACCAAATACCGAATTACCAAATACCAAATAATCAAAACTTTTGATTCGATTCGATAATTCGATTTCGGTATTTTATGCCCAGCCCTACCAAACGGGCTCTAAGTCAATCTTGAGAGTTGGAAAATATTGACAACATATATAGTACTAGACTACTAAAGTGATTAGCATCAAACTGAAGAATGCAAGTAAGAGTTTTAGAAATGTCCATCTTACTTTTCTTGTTATTTTCCCCATTGCTTAGCTTAGGACACAGACTAGAGGCGGGTTGTGAGGATTCTTCGTGCAAGAATGATGGTCTCATCATTCATTTCCCATTCAGACTCAGTCATCAACCAAAACATTGTGGCAATCCTGGCTTTGAACTACACTGTAACACTAAAAAGACACCATCCTTGAGCTTCCTCGTCTGTTCACTTAGTTGTTGAAGAAATTGATTATGTCTCACAGAAAATTAACCTTTACGATCCTGACGAATGCATAGCAGCCAAGCTACCAAAACTGAATTTGTCACAATCTAATTTCAGAAATGCTGACGATCCCACAGTCCTATTCAATTGTTTTGCACCATTGGCATACTATTATGATATTCATTTTGTTCCTTGTCTTGGTTCTTCTGGTTACAAAGTTTATGCTGTTCGTACGACTCAATTATTGTAGGTGTAATTTTAGGTACAGCGCTTGTTTGCATTATTGTCTTCTCACTTTATCAGCTATATTTGACAAGTAGAAATGGAAGAGAGAGTCGAGTTAGACTTGAAAAGTTTTTGGATGACTACAAGGCCATCAGACCAACACGATATTCATATGCTGATATTAAGAAGATAACAGATGATTTTAATGAAAAGTTAGGAGAAGGGAGTTATGGAACTGTATACAAAGGCAGACTTTCCAGTGAAATCTATGTTGCAGTAAAAGTCCTACGCGATTCCAAGGGTAAAGGGGAAGAATTTATCAATGAAATTGGTACAATTGGGAGAATCCACCATGTTAACGTGGTCCGCTTAGTTGGGTTTTGTGCTGATGAATTCAGACGAGCTCTGATCTACGAATACCTACCAAATGATTCACTTGAAAGGTTTATTTTACCAGTGAGCTCAAGCCCGGGTAGTGTCTCACTCATCAGCTGGAACAAGCTTCAACATATTGCTCTGGGTACTGCAAGAGGGATTGAGTATCTTCACCAGGGATGTGATCAGCAAATCCTACATTTCGATATCAAACCACAAAACATCCTTTTAGACCACAACTTGAATCCCAAAATATGTGATTTTGGCCTAGCCAAACTGTGTTATAAAGAAAAAAGTGTGGTCACTATGACAGCTGCTAGGGGAACCATTGGTTACATTGCACCAGAAGTGTTATCAAGAAACTTTGGTAAAGTTTCTCATAAGTCTGATATTTATAGCTTTGGGATTCTCTTGTTAGAAATGGTTGGTGGGAGGATAAAGATGGATTCTAAGACGAATAATCACAGCAAAGTGAATTCTTTGGAATGGATATATGGATATTTGGAGAAAGGGGAAGAATTAAAGATTCGGATAGAGGAAGAAGGAGATGGTACAATTGTGAGAAAGTTAGCTATTGTTGAACTTTGGTGCATACTGTGGCATCCAATTGATAGGCCTTCAATAAAAGAAGTTACTCAGATGCTGGAAGGAGATGGGAGCCATCTCAACTTGTACCCAAATCCTTTTATGGCTAATAATACGCCTAAGTTAAACGCAAGTCCTCTCAGTTAGGATCTAGATGTGATATTAGAAATTGAATAACACTTGAAAGTCATTTGTATAATGAAAATGAGATAGTATAAGAATTGCAAAAGTATTTTGTTTCATAGTAGTGATCAGCAAGCTTAATGATAAATATATGTAGACTTATTTCTCGATTTGTATGTATTAGATCCTCATGAGATGCACTAGTCCACCACGTACTAAGGGACTGGGTTGGTTTTACACTAAAATGCAGTAAAAGAGACTAAAGTTTGAAATAAAACAACAAGGAGTTTTACATGGAAACCTCCTTGCTCAAGGGAGGAAAACCACGACCTGTCACACAGGATGTCCAACTGCTTTTACTATCTTCAAGCAACAAGTGATTACAGACTCCAAACACATATTCAGAGATTAAACTCTTAATCTCACCACTCATAATAACTCTATCACAGAAAGAGCCGGGTAATACCTATATTGCCCACTATATTAACTAAATCTAATTAATAGACACTTCAATCACACTGAACTCTAACCATGCTCATTGTTAGATTAAATACTGGAGACACGATTTGTTCCTTTATAGATTAGAAACGTATCTTACAAGTTGAATCACACACGACACAAGCTTTCTTATGCAACAATCAAAAGACACGGTTGATAACTCTATCATGTCCATTGAGGTTCTTGAAGGCATGTAATCTCCAAAGACAAAACACACCTTTTAAAATTGTTGTGCTAGAATGTCTTGACTAGGTTGTTTCATGTCAATGAGGATATATTACCCTCTGAACAAAACAACCTAGTGTTCTCCCATTGGTTGAGTACATTGTTCTCTTTTCCCGTGCTCACCAACCACATCAGTGTGACAACTTTTACAGTTGTTCACCATTTTACTAGAAATATATGCTCAACTTTGGGACCTGGTTCCATGATTTGTGAGTATCATCAATTACACAGAGTTACAGCAGATCCTTGCATTAAAACCATGTTAATCGGATGTCCACAATGGGAAAGAAATGAGTTGAATGATAAATTGAGAAATAGTCCTTCTCTCAAACACACTCATCCAAAAGAAAAGTCGGTTATTTCCTCAAACCTTTACCAAATATTATAGAGAAGGCCAGTTTTTATAAAGGCGAATTTAGGATGAATAGTATTAAGTACACATGCATTATGTGGCTCAGCTGGACACAATCTAATGGAAGGAGCTTCCTGAGTTTTTCATAGGTAAGCTCTTATTCGATTAGCAAGTTGCATTATGTGGCTCAGCTGGACACAAATTAGCATACCCTTAATCTATATCGACTACATTCGGGAATCATTTGGTTAGGAACACAGGATGGAAAATAGTTTAAAGGAAAAAGGATTTAATTTTTGTGCATTAGAGTGTAAAATTTTGCTTGTTTGTATGTATAATCTGGCACTAATTCTTCAATTACTCCCTAGTTAGACTTTTCCATGATTACTCCCTCATATACTTATTATCTCCAAATTCAACTCTTTTCGGACTGAGAGATAATTATTATTTTTGTTATCCTAAATATCTGAAATTTGTGGACTAGATAGATCAGTCTCTCAAGACTAGCTTGTATACTAGATGGAACTTATGTGGAGAAGAAAATTATAGACCCCAATAAATGATTGATAGCTCATTAGATAGGTAAACGCCAATGACTGAAATTGAAGGATAAGCCTTTGAAAAGTATTATCAACGTCTTTTAAAGGTTTTCGCATGCTCCATAAGAAAAATATTCTCTTTGCAATCGCAGAACCTTAATGTCACACTCACATAATGAAGCTCATTTCCCTTAAGCCTGTTTGGAAGTCATCCTGCTAATTCGATTTGGTGTATTTAAGCGTAATTATATTGTCTAACATGTTTGGTTGACCATGTAATTACTTGGTCAACAACTAATTTGATGTAATTGGCAAAGAGTAATTATACTCTCCAATTCTCAGTGGATTGTGGTAAATTAAATGATATAATTACATATGGATCACTTTTTATTTTTATTTTTTTTGTTATAATTTATTTTTAGTTTTATCATTTTAAATTCTTTTTTATTTTATTATTTTAAATATATATTTTTTATTTTTTATTGTTGATGTTTCATTTCCTTCTCATTATCAACCTAACATTTCCATCTCCTTCATAAATAAATAGGTAAATGTCAAAGTGTTTCTCTTGAGGGCCCTTGATCAAATTGCAACTTTCTCATCAACGACCAAACACAAGTCCTCCATTGACTTGAAGTTTCCAATTGTTGATGAAAATTCCACATAGCTTCAAATTAGCTAGCTAGTTTAATTGCATTTACTCATACATAATAATATTGAAGGGTGTGTTTGGTATATTAGAAAACATTGAAGGTGTATTTGGTAGGGAGGAAAATATTTTCCAACTTTCTCATGTTTGGTTGACTTAAATGTTTTGAAAAATGTTTTTCAAATCAACTTATTTTCCTTAAAATGTTAATAATATTTTTTTAATAAAAATCAATTTATTTTGTCCCTATCCTTGCCCCTCACCCCAACCAAAAAAAATCAACAACTTAAAATTAAAAAATTTTGACTTTTTTTACCCCGTTCAACCTCTGACTATCTCTACCCCGCCCCAACAAAAATAAATTGTGAAAGTTTTTTTTGAAAAAAAATGTAAAATTTTCAAAATTTCATTTTCTTTAACCCACACCTACCCCAACCCCCTACCACCCCCTCCAAAAAAATACTAATTTAAAGTTTATTTTTAAAAATTATTTTCAATTTTCAACTTTTATTTTTTTACCCACCAAACATGAAAAAACAAGTTAGAAACTAGCTTGTTTTCCAATAAAACATTTTCTAGGAAAATATTTTCCTTCATATATCACATCATTCATCATATCATGATATCATCATCATATATTACTAAAAATGGGAACAAAAAACGTTGTAAGTTGAAATACCATTTTAACCCTACACTAAATTAAAATATTATAAATATTTAGTTAATTACATGTTGAAATTCCACTGTTAGTAGTGTTTCACTAAAATATTATTTGTATTTGTTTTAAATAAATGTTTTCCTTCATAACTTATATCTAATTACCTATTCAATTGTCATTCTTAATATCCATAACTTTCATGTTTTTCATATTCATAACCTTCAAATGTTTAATTTAAAACTTTAAGATGTCTTGTAGTATTCCTCTATTTTTATCTATATAAATTCATCTTTTTTGTTTCATGAAGCTCACACCAAAGATATCCTTTTTATTTTAAGGTTAAAGTAGTGAAGCCATCAACATCTAATAAAGTATATGGTATATCTACCTTATAAGTTTTATTATATATTACTTTACGAAAATGAAATAATTTTTCTATTTGATTTGTGGTTTAGTTTGACTTGATGGAGAAGACTTCTGAATTTTGATTGGATATGAGAGAAGGCATGTCGATAAAAACTCCGAAAATTATGTACCGATTTTGTATTTCTTTTTCCATTTATGTATTATTATGATTAAAGTCTTAAAAAGAATGTGTATGTTATTTTTTTCTTCTATGTTTATTTTTTTTTTCTATATTTTCTCTCTATTAGTCTTCTTTAATTTAGTTTTCTATAATAAAAATTATTGTCATAACATGTTCATTGAATTTTAATCTTTCTAATGAATTTATAAAATATTGTATGGGACACACGTGTCCAGAAACTAGTATGTATATATATATACCAAACATTCCCGAAGTCTCAATTCTTTTCTTCTCTTGGAAATAGTTGGAAAGAATAGAATCAAGACAGTACAAATGTATTTGTGTAGGGGAACTATTCTGCTTAAATATTTTCCATTAATCCTTTTAATCATCTTTCTGCAAACATGCAATGCTAGGAAGAGCAAATCCTACTACTGTCCTTCTGCTTGTGGCCATATCCGTAACATAAGCTACCCTTTTCGCTTAAACACTGATCCAGAACATTGCGGATATGGTCTAGCATTTGAGTTAGCTTGTGAAAGTAACCAAACAGTTATATGGTTATTCTCCAAGAAGTTTTACGTTCAAGCCATCAACTATAATAATGAGACAATTCACCTGGTAGATCCAACTTTACAAACACAAGATGATCTATGCTCTTTCAAACCTCAGCATAACTTGTTCAACAAAGCCAATACAATCTTCCACTCATACTATGTAGCAGATCCCATTTTCATGATCAACTGTCCATTTGCTGTTAATAATTATTCGACATTTGTGGAAATTATTGGTCTGCAAATTAAGCAGACACACTTATTTAAAGATTGGAGTTATAGATGCCTCTGCACTCACCGATGGATGCAGAGTGGAATTTATAGGCTGGACCTCATGGCCTAATATTATTTATACAGAGAACAACAATTCCCTTTCTGATTTTCATCAAGCCATCCTCTACGGATTTGAGCTTCGTTATTATCTGCGGAGTTCTCCACAAAGGATAAGTAAGGTCTTCAATTACATATGCTCTGTTCCTTAATGAACATTCTTTTCCATCCTAACAAATTAGGAAAAACAACGGATTCACTCACTACAATTTTATTTCTTCATGTCTTTGTAGGTTTTATTGAATATGTTCTCGGTGAGGACTCAAAACTTTTCTCTACATGTACTTTCAATTCTCCATTCACTCACTATATAAGCTTCTTGTTAAACATTTATTTTCCATCCTTTATCCGTAAGAAATTAGGAAAACAATGGATTCACTCACTACAATTTAATTTCTTCATGTCTTTTTAGGTGTTCTTCAATGGATTCACTGTGAGAACTCAAACTTTTGTCTACATATACTTTTAATTCTCCATTGACATCTCATTCTAAATTTTTTGCACTTTAATCTAACCAGGGACCAGTCTAGTGCTACTTCAGCTTATCTTGAGTAAGCTCCTATATATCCCTTTATTTGGCTGGACACAGATCACATTCCATTGATCTTAATTTTTTGTGAAAAATATACACAGTTGAGGAGTCCAACACAAAAATTCTAAAATAGAATAATTCAAAATATATTACTGTTGGTAAAGTTATAAATAGCAATCTGAATTTGTGAAAATCAAAATTTTTTACATCTCTATGGTTCGTTATAACTTCTCAAACGTGCAGTGCATTTGGGAGCAAAATTTGTAATAGGCCTTCCGCTGGTAATTGCATTTCTGGTGTACAAATTCAAAAGGAGGCATTTGTCAATGTACGATACGATTGAAGGCTTTCTGCAAACACAAAATAATTTCATGCCAATCAGATATAATTACTCTCACATAAAGAGAATGACCAGAGGATTCAAAGAGAAATTAGGTGAGGGAGGTTACGGCAGTGTATACAAAGGAAAACTTCGAAGTGGAAGGGATGTAGCAGTGAAGATGTTGAGCAAGCCTAAAGCTGGTGGGCAAGATTTCATGAATGAAGTAGCTACCATTGGAAGGATTCATCATGTCAATGTGGTTGGACTCGTTGGATATTGTGTTGAGGGAACAAAGCGTGCTCTTTTATACGACTTCATGCCCAATGGATCACTTGACAAGTATATCAGCACCAGTCAAGAAGGAAGTCCTCTGTTAAGTTGGCAGAGGAAGTATGACATTATTCTTGGAGTGGCTCGAGGAATTGGGTATTTGCATCGAGGCTGTGATGTACGGATTTTGCATTTTGACATCAAGCCACACAACATTCTTTTGGATGAGAATTTCATTCCAAAGATTTCTGACTTTGGGCTTGCAAAATTATATCCAACAGATAATAGCATTGTGAATCTCACAGCTGCTCGTGGAACGATTGGTTATGTAGCTCCAGAGTTGATCAGCAGAAGCATTGGAGCAATCTCTTACAAAGCTGATGTGTACAGCTTTGGAATGCTGCTAATGGAAATGTTAGACTTAAATAGACATGAAGTTGCAAATGAAGAGAATTCCAGCCAATATTTTCCTTATTATATTTACGATAAGTTCAACGAGGGGAAGGAGATCCCGGTGGATGAAGAAGCAAATGACGGTGAAAATAAGATGGCTAGAAAGCTGAGTTTAGTTGCATTATGGTGCATTCAAACGAATCCAATACAACGCCCTTCAATGAGTAGAGTATTAGAAATGCTTGAAGGTGAAGTTGAAGTGCTAGAAGTACCTCCTCAGCCTCTTCAATCTCAACGGATTGTTCATCAGTTGATGGGAAGTTCTATGACATTTTCGTCCGATTCAATGGCTTTGTTAGAAAATTCTGCTGATAATTCTGTCAAAGTAGACATTTGTTCTGATTGATTATAGTTGTGTATTGTTCATTTAAAATGACATATATGTGAGAAGGGCTTCACATTATACCAAGGGTCGGGTCTGAATTGGTCCGTCTCATTCATTGTGTTCGCACTGACCAAATACACATGGACATAATTAAAAGTCTATTTTCATGATTGCAAGCATGTTGTAACTCTTTTTGGTTCAAGTGTTTTCTTATTTACTGATGAAAGTGAAAATGATGTAATAAATCAAAAGGAATATGCTAGCATAATCGGAAGTTTGAGATATATGACTGATTGTACTATGCTTGATATTACATATGCAATAGGAGTACTTGGAAGATTTACAAGCAAGCCAGGTAATGAACATTGGCATGCTATGGAACATCTCGCACCTAGAAACGACTAGAAAGAGTTTAAAATCTGAAAATAATGATTTTTGGAAAGAATAAGGAAATCTGGAAAATTTTGTCTAAGTTAAAGCAGTGAGTTTTGGCCATTTTCAAACGGCCATAACTCCTAGCTCAGGATGATTTAGGAGAATTTCTTGATATGGTTGGAAAGCCCTTGGATATATCTTTCCAACGCCACCAAGTTTGTGAAATTCTGACATCGTATGAGTGAGATATGCCTTCCGAAAGTTGGGCTGTTGGATTTAGGAAAGTCCCAATCCGGATTTAGGGAAGGGTAAATTAGTCTTTCCTCTAAATTAATTCCTAATTCAATTTTAGGGATTTATTGGGGTAAAAACATGACTTAGTCAGTTTGGAGAATTGAGAAATACACTTAGGGCTTGGAGAAGAGAGAAAAGAAAAAAAAGAAGGAGAAAAGGCAAGAATTCGCCAAGATCATCCAAGCTTGCGAGTGGAATTCGTCGAGGGTGATCCCTATTAAGGTATGTGAGATCTTTTCGTGTTGGGTTAGTTCACCCACACACCAAATTATTTCAATTCAGCAATTTGGAGTTGTTTGAATGTTAAGAGAGTGAAGTTCTTGAAGAACATTGTTGAATTCTTGATGGTTGATTGTTGAATACCTAGTGTTGATTTGATTCGTGTTTTTGGGTTATTTTTCGAGTTAAATCTGTTGTATGTTGAGGGTACTATTGATCCTAAGTGTTTGGAGAAAGAATCATGGAAGTTGGGAGGGTTTAGAGATGAAAAACAAAGGAGAAAAGTTGGGGTTCACCTGGGAAAGGGGTAGGGCGTCGCGCCAGCTAGCGCGCCCCAAAAGGGGCTCTGAAGTTCACCCCTTAGGGCGACGCCCCAGCCAGCGCTCCCCAGCAGTCCCTATGAAGTTTGAGGGCTGGTGCCCCGCGCCTCTCAGAGCGCCAGGGACGCCAGTTCTCCCCATTCGTTCCCCACCTTTTAGTACTTGTTCCTTAGTAATGTACCTATGTTTCTAAGTTGATTCCAACACTCTAAGGTACATCTAAACATCATGAAATCATCCATAAACATGAGATCATGAGCCTTGAATCCATAATCCAATTCAAGGAAAGTTAAGATCAAAGTCAAAGAAGTTAAAAGTCAAGTCTAGAAGTTAAGAAGCAAGTCGAAGCAAAGTTCTTAAAGTTTTCAAGAGTCTTTATTAAACGTTTTAACTTCGTTTTAAGGCTCAAGTTTCAAGTTAAGCAAAGAGTAAAGAGTTGAGTTCATTTCTTAGAAAGCTATTAGGGAACTAAGTATTCCCAAAGAGTCTATAAATGTTTTCACATTTGAGTAAGAAAAAGGGACATCGATTCCAAGAAAGCTTTTAAGCTAAGTTTTTGAGTAATTATCTCAAACCAAAGAATGAAGTTATGTTTTCAAAAACATATGAGCTAAATAGATTTTGGGAGTAGTATTGAGCACCGATATGGGGATGCAAGTTCATATTAACTCAAGTCTCCATAAACCATGTAGCCATCATGGGTAGTAAATGATCATACTTTTTAGATGAATCCTTAAGATGCTTTTAGCATAGACTAGTGGATCCACTAAGTTAAGCGTTCTATATGACGACAAAGTATAGGACAGTTCTAGCAGCGTGGGCAAGACGTTGTATCACCACTTAGGCTCATAGTAGTGGTTGTCGGTTAAAGAATCTCCCACTAAAGTTATATTACTTTTATATATAAGTAAAGTTGAGTTTGTTATTGCTTTACCTTTAACGAACTAAGTTTTTTACACAGTTTTACAAGATTTATATATATTGCATGTGTCTTATTGTTTTATATTGAGTTCAGTTATTCATGAGTTAAACAGAGCCAAGGTAAGTGTTCCTTTGTACCCCTTTTAAGCTTAAGTTGTGTTTTAACATTCTAACTCGTATACTTGTACATTCAATATACTGATGTTAATTGGCCTGCATTTTATTATGATGCAGACGCCGGTAACTAGGATCAGCATCCAGCGCGCCGTTGATCCAGTTGAGCACTCCAGAGTCAGTGGTGAGCCTCCTTGCATTCTGGAGGACTCTTTTATTTCGCTTTCCTAGTTTTTCTTTATTAGGATGTTGTGGGGACTGTCCCAACATCCATCTCAGTAATATAGAGGCTTCATAGATAGTTAGTATTGAGTCTCTCATCTATGTATTTGCAGATACTTTGTTTTGAGACATAAGTTGCCATTTTGGCTAAGATGTTATCATTTAAACTATTGCATTGAGTTTATTTTGTTGAGTTAAGTCTTCCGCTGAGTTAAGTAAGCCAGGCCAAGGGTTCGCTTGGGGCCAGCGATGGTCTCTGAGTGCTGGCCACGTCCAAGGTGTAGACTCAGGGCGTTACATGCTATAACAAGAGTTATAAGATATTTAATTGGAACAAAAAATTGTGGTTTGTTTTATTAAAAATATTTTGATGTACTTGAAGGCTTTTGTGAAGCAGATTGGAACACTCTATCAGGTGATTCCTGTTCTACCACTGGTTATGTTTTTACTTTGGGTGGTGGTGCTATTTGTTAGAGATCAAAAAAAGCAAACTATAATTGCTAACTCTACCATGGAGGCTGAACTAATTGCTTTAGCTTCAGCTAGCGAGGAAGCGAATTGGTTAAGAGATTTATTACTTCAAATACCTTATTTTGAAAAACCAATTCCTCATATTTTAATTTGTTGTGATAGCACCACTACTATTGGTAGAGTTCAAAACTGTTATTACAACGGTAAATTCAGACCTATAAGGAGGAAACACAGTAATGTAAGATTGTATTTGACAAATGGTACCATTAATGTTGATTATGTCAAATCTTGTGATTAGGGGTGTACAAAATCGAATCGAAAACCGAACCAAACCGCAAACCAAGTCAAACCGAACAAAAAACCCGACTAGTGATTTGGTT